ACATGCCACTATAGTAAACTATGATAAACAAGATCAACAAGGAAAGGCGGCGTTCAATGAATGCAAACCCCCACACGACCAAGCAACAATAACCAGTGGTAAGGAACAAAGGTCATTTCGGACTCATCAACTTTACTGCTGGAGGAAGACTGCCTGCTCTTTAAATTTATCGTTTGACGTCTTGTCTGTGATATGCAGGCTTTATGTGCAGACTCAATCAAACCGAGTCTGCAATTTTCATGTAAGCTTGCTGTTTTTAATGATTCCTAATGATGACTTTTTCCAGATAATTATAACTTCTTATCCCCTTTTAAAATTCCATTTTGTTTAGTTCTTCCATTGTTTTCTCGTTTAGGGCACATGTATTCTTTTACTTTGGGAACATACGCCGCTTTTCATGTAATGGCACGAAAAAGTCTCATTGAAAGTCTTTGATAACCGCCGTATAAACATATCTGCTGATGTTTCTGAATTCAAAATTTCACCTTTTCATGTTTAAATGTTGAATTCTGCTCAAGCCGGTGCTGGGGGGGGGGGGGCTTGGACGGTAACTTGCACTTTCCAGTGCCGTTCATGATCAGGCATAATCAAACAAGCCTGCAAGATTTTCAATTTTGTCGTTTTGGACGTTCTATAGGTATTCCGTATTTCTCTATTTTAATGTGCCTCTTGCGTTATTACAGAAACAAGAGATAATCTATCTCTGGTAAAGGTCAGGCTGGGAAAATTGCTTCCATTTTATCTCTTTTTTCCCCGTCGAAATCAGTTCATTTATATTAGTTTTCATGATTTTCAAATAAATTTATTCAGTATCATTGATAATAATTTTGTTCTAATAATTTTTTTCTAGGAAGTTCGTTTCAACCTCGGATTGACGGGTTTTTTGGGGTTTTGTGTTTATTACAGGCGACTTCCTATTGTTTAGTGGTTGATATGATATCTTTCGAGATGAAACTAGCTTTGCATGAACAGCATTTAATTTTAGACACGATGTAACTAAATGTGACCTAAATTGGCCAACGCAAATATTTACATTACCTACTGATTTTGATCTGCACGGACGGTCGAACGATAACTGTCACAATAAAGAGATTATAAGTGGAGATAAACAATTACACCACTTGATGTATTATGGCTGATACAATGTGTGCTTAAAAAAATTATGTTTTAAACCACTGTATGCCGTTAATGAATACTCCCGATTTTTCTTTAGTTTTAACATAACAATTTCCATTCTTGATATATTTTCTGCATGAGTTTTATGTAAGAGAAAGTTGTTCTTTCCATAAGTGTTTGCATGTTTGCTCTCCAGTCAACTCATAATGTTTCTTGAACTAAGTTGAACATAAATTATTTTGAATTATAAAGATAATGAACATATTTTTTGTTGACTCTCTGCCATGGTTAAAAAATCTTTGTTCATCATGATAAGGTTAATAAATACATATGTTTACGAAAACTAAATAAGCAGTGGTAATTGTACAGGCTCAAAATGCTGATAAAATTAAACATCCTTAAAAATTAATTACTGGACATACTCTGTTGTAGTTTTCTATGCATTTTCTATGCAAGACATGTTTCTTTCAAGTGGTCATGTTTGGCTGAATATTACAAGGGTGCATGCCGTAAACGCTTCTTTCCTTTGTTGATTGTAAACATCTTAATATTTCATCCCACTTTACTTTGACATAATGTTATGGATTCGCATTTGCCTGTTAATAATTTACAATACCTTATTGAAGAAATCTACAGTTTTTAAAACCTGTCCAAATTTAAAACGAGTCTACAATTTTCACTTCCTGTCTGCGAAAACGTGTTATGTGTGACCGATGAAATAGTAATACAAATTCTTACAATATCTATTACTTATAGTATTGCGTTTTTAGCACTAGACTGTATAAGGAATGTTCATTTTTACATGATCTGTTGTGGCTGATGGGTTGCTTTTATGTTTGAGTTATAAGAATTTCAGCCACAAAGCATAGCCAAAATCATCTTTTCTGTTTCGACCTCTACTGTGTTCGTACGCCGTGAAACCAAACAAACAAATACATCGGATCACGAAAGTTGAAATTGATATTTATTATTTATTGCAATTGTCGCATCTACAACTTCAGAAGAGTGCTGTTTATCTTTTGTTCAAGGATGATGCTGCATGACATTCCAGAAGTATAAGGTGGTTCCTATAGTGCACATACATGTAAAGTGACTAAGCCACGCGCCAAAGGTTTAATGCCTCATCCGAAAAAACATTGTTGTCGTTGGAGCTAAAGCTAGTCTCACTTACATCCCGGCAGAGCCCCGGTAGACGTCCGGGGGTGATCCGGGAACGACCGGGGCACGACCGGAGTACATCCGTAACTCTGCCAGCAACGTCCTGGATGATCCGGGATGATCCGGGAACATCCGGCATTCGATCCCGGATGGAATAAAATATTTAATATCACCGGGGTGGTCCGGGATGATCCGGGAAGGTATAGCTTTTCCGGCTTTATTATTAGCTCTGCCGGGAACGACCGGGGTTATACCGGGGAAGCACCGTAGCTCTGCCGGCACAAACCGGGGATGATCCGGGGTATGATATAGCCGGTAGAGCTACGGTAGAGCTCCAGTAGAGCCCCGGAAAATGCCGGCAGAGCCCCGGCAACTACAGGCAGAGCCCCGGATGATAAAGGTAGAGCTACGGTTGATCCCGGTAGGGCCCGGCAAAGCCCGGATCATTTCAAAAGAATAACGACAATTGGCGAGGATTGCACTTGCTGGTATTAAAACCTATCCCTTCTATCCAGTATGGCATAAGGATTTTTCAGAAAATCATCATGAATTACTATTCTGGAACAATAGATACCATATTAAATAAAAATTATGTATCAATGTTATCATTTTCGGGCGTTTTCAATCCACCGGGGTTCTACCGGGGCTCTGCCTGGATCGTCCTGGGCTCTGCCGGGGATCTGCCTGGATCGACCGGGGCTCTGCCTGGGTCAACCGGGGCTCTGCCTGGGTCAACCGGGGCTCTTCCGGCGTCATCCGGGGAAGCACCGGCATGAACCGTAGCTGCACCTGGGCTCTGCCTGGATGATCCGGAGCGCATCCTGGGTGGTTAGTTGAGAACTACCGTAGTGCTGCCGGGGTAAGTGTGACCGCAACAATAATTTCACCCAGGATCATCCCGGTAAGTTACCGGGATGATCCTGGGCTCTGCCGGGAGTAAGTGAGACCGAGGCTTAATAGCTTGTAATCTTTATCACTTGACTCTAAATTGCTGTAAAGGTAATCCACACTTAATTGCTTTTTCATTAATTAATTGTTATATTTTTTTAATATTTGTGTTTTGTTCATAACGACAATGGCTGTTGATATGAAAGGGTTATTTTACATCTTTTATTAAGATTATAAAATATAAGATTATATTGTTTACTGTAACTGATTTAATTAGTGAAAAACTCCCTCATTTTTCAAAGAAAACCACGTTGTAATAGTTTTCTGAATTAATCATGTTATCGTCTGGCTAACTTTCGCGTTTGTCTCCATTTTATCCAAAAGAAAATAACTGTGCGACGGCTTGAGTTAAGAGAAAAGGAATAATTTCCTAGAAAAGATTACTCAAAATAATTGACGACCTTTATAGGTGGAAATGTTGCCAGAGCTGTACTACGCCTTGTCTTTCTTTTATAATTCATCATTACCAGGTATAGTGTAAACCTAGCGAAATAAGGAATTGCAAAATATTAGGTGTGCAAATGTTTAATAGGTGGTAAGTTTGCTTTCTTCTATGTTTTTAGCATGGCGATATTGAAAATATTGTTTAATTTCATATAACCTTTTTTAAAATAATCTGGAAAAAAGCATCTTGACTTTTAAATGACATTCTTTACAAAAGGACCGTGTGTTGTGTTTGCTTATGTTTTTTGTTGTTGCTGTTTTAGAAAAAGGATCTTGACGAAGATATAGGTTCTTACAACATGAGCGATTCAAAGACAAAAAGTCAAGTGACAATAAAATGTTCACATATTGCTCTTTTTAAAATTAAATTCAAAATGCCTTTCATTCAATAAAACATGTTGTAAAATAATAATGTTTTTTTTTTTGCTTATAACGTCACAGTTACACATAGGTCTTTACTTATGCTACAGAGGTATTTACTTATGATACAGGTGAAACAAATTTAACAGACGTCACAAGATGTTCGATTGGACTCATTTATGTTTAATTGCCCAATGGAATTTCTCATTGTTTCTCTCGCAGTTATTTTTACATGACTTATAACACAACTTAGACAATAATAAAGAAATAAATTTGATTTAAGAACGCTGCTCGGTTGGTTAAAAATCGTAAATTTTAAGAGAAGGAATTTAAACAATTACAATTATGTAAACAATGATGATATTATATTTATTGTAGATCCTGTATTTAATCTTATCAAGTACTATGGACGAATATAAGTTTAGATTGAATACTGAATACCTATCCTTTTTGTCGCACGGGTACTCCAGATTTTGAAATGTCATTGACGGGTTCGCTTTGAGCTATATATCTTATGTTTATTTTGTCTCGTTCTAATTCTTTTATAGTTTACATCGTAGAGACTTGATTTTTTAATTTGATATACATGTAAATATTTTCATTGGATAATTTACAGTACTTTGTCTACAAATTAGTGTGAGCCCATAGAACTCTTGCCTATCCTCCTAAATTATTTTGGTTTTAGTTGTACTCTGAACCAGGGGAAGTAATTATTACTAATTAAACCATTGTATTTTACTTATGTGTATTCTCCCGTACTTAAAGTTTAAGGTTTACAGGATTAAAGTATTAACATTATAAATAACTGACAGTCGCAACCTCATTTGAACTAAAATCGTTCAATAATTGAAGGTTTAATGTTAAAGTTACAAGAGTCTAACACCACCGTATTATCTTCGGCCCAAAATGTTGACAATCGCTTCTCATTGACCAATCACGAAGGCGAATCTTTCCATCGGTGATCCGTATCACCGAATGGCTTGTCATTTTACAAAACGTACCGGGACGCTTGGATAACTGTTTCATTACAAAAACGAGTGTGTTCTCTATCACTGTAAAAAACAACTCCCAAAAAGGAATATATATAAATAAAGTGATAAAAAAGATAGAGGATTATTAGAACGAGGGAATTAATTAAATGGAATATCTGATTTGACAATTTAAACCAGCGTTTTGTTTACTAAATTTAAACTACCTGATTAAGTGTAAAAATTGGATATACAAGGTTTTTGATAAGCGCTAATGCAATTTACAAGGCAGGTTTAAAATAAAATATACAAATCTACCTAGCGTAAAAAACCTTTTTTTGTGTGAACACCTTACACCCGATTTTTCTGCAAAGATTCGAATTGGATTTTCCTGGTTTTCCAAGTGTAGTCTTCGAATTTGCGGTTTTCTGTCTCGGAAACGTTATTATTTAAGGAAATCGGGAATTTAACTCAAGTAGTGTGATGATATCTCGATGGATGCAAGATATGTCAAAATTCTGCTATATCTTAATATATCGGTAGAATAAAAATGATTTTCAAAATGTTGTCTGATCGGAGACACTAGTTAACACGTGGTGTCTCTCTCTGAAACTTGATAGATTCTTTGTAAAAACAGATATTTAACAAAAATTAATAATCATTGTTTTAAACATTGAATAGTGTGACAGTTTATCAATATAATTAAAGAATGTATTTTTTTTTCAATTTTGACAGATTGACTTTTCATAAATAAAAAAGAAAAGCGTTTGTTCAACTTCGTTAATGAATTTAATTCTTTGAATAAAATTATATAATATGTAAAAAAATCTGTGAAAATTGACTATTATTAGTATTTCATGGATTGACGTGAAAGTATTTTAAGTTTTTGTGTATAATTTAAAGGCTTTTGCAGTTTTAAGGGGAGAGGTGTATATTTATTTAAGTGTGTTTGAGACATAAGATCGTAAAATAGCAGACCTGACATATTTAGATAAGACATAAAAAGGAGATCTTTATGAAATTATCGTTTTATATTAACTGAAGTGATTTTTATTGGATTTTAAGCGAAGGCTACCTCTCAAAGCTTGTCTTGTTATAAAAAATCAAGCGCTGAGAGAAATCAAGTTACTTATTCTCTCGGGCGGGAATCACAAAGTGTGCTGTATATTGGACATTTTTTAGAATGGCCAATAGCACACATCTCTTGGCTCCCGATGCAGTATGAAGAAGAGTGAGTCTAGAAGATCTACCATATGCAGGTAATTTATAGGTATTATTTCTTCTTTTTCTAGTTACCTTTCTTTCTTATTTAATCATTGTTATATCATAACAAAGTGCTTTAATTTATATGATTGATATATGGCCTACATGAGAATCTGCTTTGTGATTCTTTGAACAAAAATCATTGGCAATTATATACTAATTTCACGTGCTGAATTTTAAGGCGGAGTAATATTTGACTGACAGTCAAGTGACCCATCAAACGTTATTTTGTTTCCCGAAAAAATATTGTTTTCTATGTGATTTACCCCCTCATGTTTTTCTTTTTTCTGATACAGAATACAAACATGTTGGTGCTATATTTAACTTCTGGATTATTTTGAAAAATGATATGGATTTTCTTTGGCACATACACTTTTTGATGAGTTAAACAGATAAAAAGAACATATGTTATAATGACCTAATGTCATAACTAGTTACTAGTTCTGTTTTGCAGATCAAAGTATTACTAATGGTATATTAAAAAATCAGTAAGTCAACAATAGTACAAATCCCCAGAAAAAAGACATTCAAATTAATATAATACATGAAACACGTAATTATTGTAACCTTCATCTTTTTGTTTTGTCTTTAACAAAGTGTCTTCACTATCACAATGGCAAGAAATTTATGATTATAGAATGTCAATTATCTTACAATTAATTGAAATATTTTTTTCGTCCATTCCTCCTACGCTGTTTATAAACCACCCTCATTAGCAGACGACAACATCAAATAACAGACGACAACCTTAAAACATTTTAATCACACTAACAGAAACAATATCAAATAGCAAAGTTCACCTAACTAAGAATATTTTTACAACATAAACAAGTGGTATTTGATAATTATGAGGTACCCAGTTTCACGTGAAATATTTCACAAAAGACTTACACGAAACGCACAATAAAGGTTAAGTATTGACCACGTGAAAGTACAATTTATACACAAATTATAGCAGTCATAAATGAGACATTTCTTTGTTAAGATTCATTTTATACGCCTTTAAATATGTTGACTATACATAGTACATTGATATCAAAAGAGGGTGCTATAGCAAAAAAATATATAATAAATTAATGAAAAAACCATCTATTTATTCATTGCGTCGTGGAACATAGTATAACATTCTGGATCAAAAATAGCATCACTCTATCACTTAATTAATCAGAGGGGTAATTATTTGCAACACAAGGTTTAAGAGAATTCACGCTCTTTGAAATTCCGTGACAGAATGGCATTATGAGAACTGTATTAGCTTAAATGGGTAATCCGCATCTGCTTTTGATGCAGTTTGATACACACGCAAAAGTTGTGCTAATTCCAAATTTTATTGCAAAGTTATCCGTAATTACATGCCCTCCCGGAGACTGGTTCGTTTCGATTAATACCCGAAGTCGTTTGAACCGAAAATAGGAACTCGAAAAATATCAGAATATCGTGAAAATGTATGGTTATTGGTTATAGGTATTTGTATTATTTATAATTAGGTTGTTATTTTTAGCATTTCCATTCTTTTTTAAGTTAAAAAACTCTTTAAACGTCCAAAAGCTTGTTCTTTTTATACGTTTTAATCTCAAGATAGAGGCCATGGTCAGACGTTAAAAATCTTCGTATCGTTTGTCTGTCTTTAACTGAAATAATATTTACATTCTATCGTGTCAATATCCGTGTCATTAATAAACATTAAAGGCCAATAATTGACCCGTTGTCTTTTATTGATGTAATATTTACATTTTACATTATTACCCCGTCTATCACGACGTCGAAGAAAAAGTGATCGTCTGTTTACACGCTCCTGTCTTTTAATGATATATTATTTACACTTGATCGCTAAACATATCAATATTAACATTTTTCCTTATCGAGTGACAAAAACATGAACAACTAAAAACGTAGATTTAGAGCATTACACGAGGAATGATATCATTTAACCTTAGTCTCTAACTTCCATATAGTCCATGCTATCTTACAGTGTACATTATAGGTGATAAATGAACAGATAACAGTTTTTGTGTCACCGATATACACAACTTTAAAGGATGATAACCATATGTCAGATTATTGTTTTTCATTTGTTACGTAGTCTTTACATATTGTAAAAATGCAAACAATGTCTTTAGCTTCATCTGAAATTGTCGAGTTTTAAGGATTTTATCATAGAAATATGCAAATTATTCGCGTAATTTCTTTCTAATCGCAAATGAATTATGTTTCGCGATAACGCTCTTACCAGCGTTGTTTTATTTATAAATTGATACTAGTATACTTAGCATACTTATCTAAACAAAAGGCAATCTCTAAACAGTGTACAGAAGGTGCTGCGTTTTCTCTTTCTAATCAGAAAAAAAATAGTTCCTAGTTATTTATTTCGTCTTCTGGGATCGATTCGTTCAATAGAACCCCCTTGTAATAACCCTGTAATATAGCGAACGGAAGAATGCATTTATCTATCAATAGGACACGGGTGTGTGAAAAAAGCCGCGGAAATAATTTACTTCACTGTTATAACTGCACAACCTGCTTGTTTCAAGTACAAAAAGCGGCGCGTAATGAGTCCCTTCAATATGTGAAGAGTATAACACTCGAGATGGATGTTAAAATGTAAATATTGATCTGTAAAACTGACAAATATTGCTAAATTGTTTAAATCCCCAATAATATCGCAAGGTGACACGTTGCCTTTTAAACGAAAACGGAAAATTAAGATATGTTCGTTTTGAAGTATATGCTTCTTTTGCGGGGAAAGAAAAAAAATGAAATTAAATATAATAGCGGAATGCGGATAGCTCACTAATGTTATTGATCAGGTTTGGTAAAACTCCTTAACAATTTAAATAAATCTATATCATCATATAATCTCTTGTCAAATAGATCAGGCAAGAGGGTATGTAGCGGAAAAATCGTATATATTCAAATCTTGTATGACATTACTTCATTTTTCAAAAAACTTAAATTTTCTCTTTCATATAAGCATACATATTTTTGGCGGGGTTTGAAAAAAAGTTTAAAGTCTTGTGTTATGCTTATTAAATGACGTATCATAAATTGCTAAGTTGAATATTTGTTTGATGTTTCGCTTGGAGAGTGTTTTGTACAGAGTATATGACTTTAATCATAATGGAGAGATAAAATTTATACGAAAATACAGCAATAAATAAGCAAGCAACGTCCTTATATGCAACAGTTGTTATGTATGTATCTTTATCATTATAAAATATGCAAAAGTTTTTTTCTTTTTCACTTTTCATGAAGATTTATAATTTACCCAGCAATTTCTAAGTAGGCCTTTCTTACAGTTTATGCTAAATATTAAAATTATTACGATGTAAAATTGCCATATGTTTTTACAGAGCTTGGTACGATAATATTTAAGATAATCATTTTGTAGGCTAAGCTACGATATTTATAACTTGTTTTCAATGTATACATGGCGATGTTAATATCACCTTTATAGTCACATCTTAGTACAAAAATTAATCTGACTTTCGAATATTCAATAAACTTATTATCAGATGTATTGGTTTTAGCGATTATATCGTCGGGCGGAATATATAGATACGATATCTGTAATTGATATATCGTCACTAGTATACTAACGATATATCGTCCGTGTTACTTGCATCCATATGGACAGTCTATTAAAGGTATATACATTTATCGTTATATCGTTATCATTACTTATATCGATATTTTCCCATCATTATTATTATCGATATATCGTCACTTATACTTATTTCGATATAGATACATGTAAATATCTGCAGGAAACATATAATATATATAACAAGCATTTCTTCTTAATATATATATGGACGATAGGGGTAACAAATATATGTTTCATTATTAATTATCTTAACACTTGTCTTCTTATTGTCTTATCTTATTAATCAACTGTAAATCATACATTGTATACTGTTTTCTTATTCGTCAATTCATCAGTCAATCAAACAATCTTAATCAATAAATCAATCTACAGAATCAATTAGTTAAGTGTTATGTAATTTATTCGGAATGTGTCATATAAATATGAAATGCGATTGTAATAAATCTGATCAACAATCACAAACAGGTGTCTCAGCAGACCTCGTACAACGAGAATTAAAATATTAGGTTTTGTATAGGTAACGTTATCGGATATCTTCGGCTGTTCAGCTCTCCTGTATAAAAAAAGCGTGACTAGCTGAACATGTTCTGATACTTTTCAGATATAATTTTATCTGTAATCTGATTTTCTAAACGTGAAAAGTAACTGTATTCAAATGTAGATTTGTGTTTCTATCATAATTCATATCTTTTTTATAGTTTGATTACTTTGTACAACTTTTTTTTCATATGCACATTTTCATTCATAATTGCCCTGGTGTTTCTTTGAAATGATACGGATGTTTCATTCATGTTAACAGATAAGATACGGCGGTTCGGTGTACTATAAAACGAAATCAAAATGAAAATAGAACCGTTAAATAATGAGGGAAGTTTATCAACAGATGATTGTATTGTGAAGATAGCAGTAAATTACTTTATTTTGATGAGGGCAGCGATGAATATACGTTTTTATTTTGATTGGTTTTCGCGATTTGATACAACAAAATATTAAAAATCTTATAAACGGCCGTTATTCATTTCAAGAAAGTAAATTAACAAAAAGAAATGACATTTAATTGTATCGTTTTAATCTTCATTTAAGATGGTAATTTCTTGCATTGTCAATAATACATTTGTATTTCTATAAATCAGAGAGATATAAGTGACTTTGACTTGTTGATTATTTGAAATATTTGAAATATAAATTACAAAACCATAAACTTAATTGTAACATAGCTAGCTGTTACCGTCTAGATCTATTTGACCAACTTGGCAAGAGTATAATAATGTCCATCATTTAAAACAAACACCAAAGTCACAAGCCTTCGGACATTTTAGTTTTGTTATCAGTCTCCTTGTATTAAAGCCAAGTCGTTTAAATTCCTTTCTGCATGTTTAAATTTTTGCGGCA